GAACCTAAACCTTAAAAATGATGTCTAAAACTCGATTCTTACTTGTCAATATGCTGGTAAGTTTAATTACAACTTAACATAATTTTGTAAAAAAAAATTAATTGATTTAAAAATTATTACACAAAAAAAATAAAGGTACATATGAATTAATATCCCTAAAAGATAAATTAAAAAAAATGAATTTTATCAAATTTGTATTTCCTTCATAATTATTATTCTATTTTTAACTTTAAACTTTATAATATTATTAATCTGTTATCATAATTTATAATTTTTCTTATAACACTTAACTAATGATTTCATTGACACTGACAGGATATCAAAATATAAAGATTAATATGTAATTTTTTAAAATTTAAAGACCCAAAATGATATCCAGTTCGTAAATGTAATTTACACGTCTATGTTTTGAGGTACAATACTTTGAGCCTCATTTGATAACATCATGGTAGCGACTGTTTTTTTTTTATTTTTATTTTGCTGAAGTGTCGTTTTTGTATTTTCGGGCTATCAAACAGGTCTTTAACCTTGGATAGATTGTTTTGGCCATTGAATAAAAAACATTGAGAATTAACAATGCCTAATTCAAGTTGATGGGGCCAAATGGATTTAAAACTTGTCTGCAGATAAAGGAATAAACCATCAGCGGTAGTATCCAACTTTAGACGATTCCTTAATGAAGTGGATGCTAGCTACGCCATCCCCACCATGCAATTTTTTGTTTCTTTTCATTAAAATATAATCTTTCAATGAAGATTACACATAACCAACCAAAATAAATTTTCATATTTATGCCTTCTAATTTATATACAACTTGGTAGATTGCATGACATAATTTCATTTTGCACTTTGCACTAATCATATAAATCATTGTCACATTAGAGAAAGGTTTGCCTCTTCATTGAACCTCTCTTCCCTCTTATTTTAGAGTAACATGTCTCAACTATTGGAAATAAGTTGCACTATTTGAATATTAAAGTGAATCCTACAGTTTTCAATATTGCAAAAGTGAAAAAGAAAAAGATATTTGCTTCGATGATTTACCATCCTCATAAAAAATAGCTAGCCACGATGTAAGTCTGAATCTCAGGCTCTTAGGTCTTATTGTCTTCCAAGACGTGGGTTTATTTTACCCTATCATTTTGCAAACGTAAAATTTGGTTCAAACGAAAGTAAACATTTTATAAACGAGTTAGGTGAAAGGGCATTATCACAATAATGACACATGTGTCACCGTCAACTATCAATATGGCAGTACAAATGAGGGAGCAAACATGGTGAGCAGTAGTTGTAGCTCCAATTTCCAAAGACCAGTATTCAATAAATCACATGTACATGTTGATAGATACAACCGGCATTCACTATCGCCTTCTCAAAGAATTTGTGAAGCAAAAGTACGAAAACATAGAAGTGAAAAAATTAAAAAAAAAAGGACTTAAGAGGAAAAACCAAGGGTATCCTTTAGTTGCATGGTGAGCCACTAGGCAAAGAGGAGGAACCACCACAATGAAGAAAAACTTGGAACGCGAAAACCAAAGAAGCAAAGGCAGGATAGGGGAAACGGTACACTAACAATTCAGACACGAATATCAAAAGAAAATAAAACGAAAGGAAAAAGAAGTGAAAGAAATGGTTCAAATCAGAATAAAAATTTGCAGAGGGGGGGGGGGGCAAGTAGAATAGGAGAGGCTGAAATGAATGGAGTCAGTGGAGATAAATGGTTAGAGAAAAAAGTGGGATTTTGTACGCCGCCGAATGAATTGGAATAATTTACTTTTTAATACAACCTTTTCAAGATGGGTTCGATGAGACATTGATTGGTTAAGTGAATGACAAGGTGCAGAGAGCTACATCTAGTAATTAGGGTTTGTGACAGATTGGGATATTTCCATCAAGCACCCCAAAAGAATTTCTATTTTATTAGAGTCATACTAATTCACAGTGGTATGGAAGAATAATAGTAATTATTTTAAAAAAAATGTAGTAATCGTAATTGGTAAAAGCAAGTAGTGAGTTAATAGCATTTGTAGCTAAATTTTATTTTGATATTTAACATTAAGAATTTTAATTGGATTTTTAGTTATTTAAGGTTGTTTAAGTTTGGTTTTTTCGTTTATATATTTAAATTGATAATAAATATTAGTTAATGTTATGTGGACGACGTGAATTGATATATTACATTCTAAAAAAATATCAAAATAAAATTTTATTCAAAATTTAAGGACGAAAGATATTATTATTTTAAAAATTTTATATTTTATATTTAGTGTATACAATATTAAATTTAAAATAATATATTTTTATTTTTATATAATTTATTAGTTAAATATTTTTTATTTTTAATAAAAATAGACTATAAAAAATTAAAATTATTTTAAAAATTTAAAATGCTTTTAAAAGAATTTCATATTATTTTAAAAAATATAAAAATTTTATACCAATTTAAAATTTTAAATAAAAATTTGGATCATTTTATATATTAAATAAAAGCTTTCATATTATTTAAAATAAATCAATTTATTAACCTATTTATAATTTTTTATTAAAAAATTAATTTATATCTATTTTTATTAAAATTTTATTTTTAAAAAATAAAAATAAACAATCAGAACGGTCTTTAACACCATCGACAGATGAAGGGAATAAATCAAATTATTAAAAATAATAATTTTTTTATATAAATATAAAATTTTTAATAAAAATATATGCAAATAATTCTTTTAAGAAAAAATTGATTTTTGAATAGATTAATAAATTTGTTTTTAAAATGATACGGTAATTTTTACTTAATATTTTAAAAAAATTAATTAATAAATTATATTACAATAAAAATATAAAAATTTTAATTTTAATATTTTATAAAATATATCTAAAATATAAAAAATTTAAGATAATAACATCCTTAGTTTTTAAATTTTAAGTAAAATTTTATTTAACTCTCACCGAAGCCATTCACACGATGTCAATTATTATTTATTATTAATTTAGATAATTTCAAAAACGAAAAAAATTAAAGTTAGATAATTTTAATTAATTAAAAATTTAATTAAAATTTTTTAAAAATTTCGAATAAAAATAAAATCTAACTCAAAGTTTAGATTCCACGTAATATTGAGTCTAGCAAAGGTGCTTTATATAGTAAAAAGTAGAAGGATCTTGGATCCAATTGATTTATTTTTGTATATATCGAGATTGATATTTAAGGATTAGTAGTGGGAATTGAGAAAGTGGTAAAATATATATTAATGATAAAATTGAATATTTTATTTATAAATTTTAAATTTAATTTTCATTATTACCAATTTTTAAAATAGATAATCTTGAAATTTAACGTAAATTCAGGATGAAACTATTGATATATTTTCCTCCACCAAATAATGAAAAAATAATAATGGCCCACTTTGGATCAAAGGAGTAGGTATCAACTTTGAAGTTTTGATTTTATATAGTCACTAAAGTCTTGGCTTGATAACAAGAAGAAAATTATAAAACTCTGAAATTTTAAGATTAAATTTAATGTGTATGGATTTGATTGTTAAATTGTATTATAATTTATTAATTAATTATTTAATAATTATAATTTGATTATGATATAATTATTAGTTATATGAATATAACATTTGATTATAAGTTTGATTGTATATGAAAAACATATATTTTCAATTTTGAAGTTTTGAAATAGTGATTTTAGATATGAACACACCCATCGTCTTATTGGCATAAAATTTGTTTTTGTATAAGAAAAAAAAAATTTCATTTGTAGAGATTGAAAAACGGTGAGCACTGGCCAACAAGCAAAGACTTATGGTCTGAATGGAAGCAAACGTTCGAAATCTTTGCGGTCATAAATCGTGAATTTCGGAAACATGTGAAGCTTATGGGCTTTAATTGGTCCAAAAGAATTGCTACCTCCGAGTAAACAAATTATATAAAGCCCAATAGGCCTAATTGCAAATGCTTCAGCCCAAATTAACTACAGTAAATTTATAATTTTATTTTTCTTTTCTTTTACAATTGAGTAGCTTAGTAGTTTATTGGGTCTAAAATAGAAATTCAGTTTAGCTCGTATTACTCTTGTTCTCGATTGCATTATGAATTGCCAGTATCTTAAAATAATTAAAGATGGCAATTGGACGGAAATCTTTTTTCGAATTCCGATCGGCGTCTCAAGTTGAGGTTTGAATTATTTAGAATTTGAATTTTTTCAAGTTCAGCTTAATTTTGTGTTCAGTTAATCTCAGATTAATCACAATTCAAGTCTTTTTAATTTAAAATTCGAGTTTTTACAAATTTTGGATCGAATGGTCTTTGTTCAAACTTTTGAATTTGCATTTTTGACTGTTTTCAGTTAATTCGAATCAGATCGAATTTGATCTTGGGCTAAATGATTATTTGGATTGGAACAAATTTTGCCACCTCTACAATTAATTTCCTTTGAGCTCAGGTGATTTCTAGGGCACCGGAGAGGGGTTACAGCCTGCATGCCATACCTCACAAACGGTCCTGATGCCACAAGGCAAGCCCAAATGATATTTGGTTACAAATGGTAAATCAGGCTGTCGATTTTCCTCTTAGACACCCCCCCCCCCCACGAAATAAAAAGTACCTCGTTCCAAAATGCCTTGGATCCTAACTAGAATAGGCAATGATCTTACAATCGTTGATACACTTTCATAAATGGAAAAGTATCAATTAAAAGGGACAAAGGAAGTAAGGAATCAATTACACGGACAAACACCGAGCCAGAATCTCATAAATGGATAACAAGAAATAATACAATCATGTAAATAGTTTTCTGTACAACCTGCAAATGACTGCCATCAACCATAACTGAACTCCATAAAAAAAATCTCCAATATCATATGCAAGCACTAGCTACAAGAATTAATTACTCCTAAACTGTATGGCAGACTTATTGATATGAGATGAAAATCTAACTGTACTAACCATAGGACAACAAGCAATGCTGCTGCTTGATGCTAGAATTTCTATTTGCTACTTGGATCGTGGAACTTGAAACTCTACGCATCAGCTTCATCTGTACAAATCAAGCAATTGTAGCCAGCAACAATACCAACAGTATCACCCAATTACAATTTTTTAGCAGCTCCGAGCCAGCTGAAAACAATAGAAATCAGTTATTTTCATTCATTACATGCATTCCAAGAAGTAAAAATCTTATGGAGAGTTTATTTCCATTAAGAATGGAAATGCACACCTAGATGATGAACAAAAATTATAAAAGGGGTTTGTGTCTTTGTATTATACAGTCAAATCAAGATTAAATATCCTTAAAATTCAGGCAACTGAGGTTTTTCTTGGTTCTCAAAATTCAGAAGATGGAAAAGTGGAAAGATGCTGCTTTCTCAGATGGTTACAAAATTCTCAGATCTCCCAAAGAGAGAAGTAAAGGGGTTGAAAAAAAGAAAGTAGTGGAAACACATTTAAATCCGTTTAAGATCAATATTACATGATGTTTTTGTTTTGGCAACAGAAAAAGAAAAGAGATCTATGAGCCTCATTTTACCTTGATTAACATCACTATGAGACACTGTTGGTGCTGTGGAAGTAGACTTATTTGTCATTGAGATCCCAATGTCTGCACAATCCAGTCCAATTGCACCTGGAAACCACAAGTTCAAACTCAATTACCTTTCTTTTCGGAATACCAATAGGAAAATCCTACCTGACCACTGTAATTGACACTACGCTAAAACTATAAATTCTAGGTTTTACAGCCACCTACAGATTTCTGTTAGCCATTTATAGGAAAATACTACCTAATCACTGTAATTGACACTACGCTAAAACTATAAATTCTAGGTTTTACAGCCACCTACAGATTCCTGTTAGCCATTTATAAGAGTGTGTTCTTACATTCTCTGTAGCATGGGAAGGCAGAGACATTAAGAAGATTAAAATAACCCTCTGAACATTTGCAATCATATGTAAATGGTGATGTCTTGTTGCATGACCCGCCTCCACAATTAGTCCATCTGCAGACTGCAAAACCATGACAAAGTCCATTGGCGTTAAGAAAGGATATCGAATGACCAAATAGAAAGCATAGATGGTACGGTACATAGCTTACCATCAAAGATAGACTGATTTGTTTTGGCTTCCTTTTCTTGCACAGGGGAGGGAGCGGCTGAACAAGCAGTATTTAGCGTACCTAAAGCCACCAAATTGTCAGCATCATCAAAATTCAAAACCCTGTAATAATTTGATTGCTATTATTTGACAAACGTAAATTAATCAATCATATATCTTCAGATAAGCAATCCATCTTTTTTCAAAGTAAGATTAAACTTTACAAACTTTGACTTAGCTAAGATATTAAAATTACATATTGACATGTGTTGAGACCCCTTGTTCAAGAAAGGTCCTCACCATGACACAATCTTGAGATGATTTTGTTATGATTAGCATGCATTACCAACTTGAATTAAAATATTGATTTCTATATATGTTCCTTCTAATTGAGCACATATTTTTTTTGGCTTCTTTCATTATCAAATCTAAACCTAGCTTTTGTCACCTTAGCAGTATATCTAGTCGAAAAGTAAAGCTACCACTATTCGTAGTTACAAAAGAAAAAAAAACAAAAAACAAAAAAAAAGGGGTGAAAAACAACAATCTAACCTCCTTCACATGATGTAGCTGGGGTAAATCAGTGATTCCATCCAATCTAATTGAATTCCCCCCAACAACCCCAAGACCACTTCTAATTTGAAAAGCTAAAAAATTACAAGATTCCCTTGCATATCATCATCAAATTAATGGCAAAATCACAAAATATTCATGATTTGATTATATATACAAACCAAAACCAATAAAAAAGAAGTTAAAGAATAGATTATTACTTGTATTGTATGAATTGAAACATGTGACTATTAATGATGAAAAATGGGCCTTAAAAGCAGGAGAAAGGCAGAGATCAATTACAGTTGGGGACAATGCAAGGGAGAAACTTGAGATGATCATCGTTATCAGCACGAGTTTGTTTCCAGCCAAGATCACATTCACAGTTATAATAAGGCAATGTTCCATTTAAAGAAGGCTTGCATTTTCCTCTCCCACATTCCACTTCTTTGCATACATCATCTGCAACAAGAAAAGCTAAATAAATAAAAAAAACTTATTCAAAACTCTTAAAAGATCACAATCAAGAAACACCCAACTTAACAAAAAGACCCAAAGATCTCAAAACCATTAGTTTCTCAGCCAAAAACAAAAGATTAAAAAAAAAGCTGCAAAGGGAAAGTAACAAACCAAACAAGGGTGACAAAAGTGGAGATAAAAAGTCAGTTTTAGCAATCTTAAGATGCAGAACAAGAAGGATTGCAAGAAAAGCAAGGGTGTTCAGAGAAGCCATGTGTAGAACATGGAAAGATAGATGAGAATGTGAGAGATATAGGGTAGTAATAGTCTTTTTATTGAGTTCCAGGAAACTGAAAGAGGTCTTCTATAAATGGACGGAACTTTGATTGTTGGAACTTGGGAGTTAAAATGTTTACGTGGCGTGGATCCGGCTAAACTGAGTCGTTCATAGTGGAGTTTTAAAGCTTGGTTTATCTGCGGCAGATTTCATTTTAGAGATGCACAATACAGCCAACCATCCAAATACGATAAAAAAACGGCTTTAAGTGTAAAAAAAAATAATGAATTAAAATTAATTAATCATAAAAAATTATTTTATTACATATAATTGAGTTTTCAAGTATTTATTTTCGTTCAATTGAATTTTATTATACAAAATTTTTGTTAATCATTATCATCAATTTTTATCTAATAAAAATTTAATTGAGTAAATATATATTTAAAAAATTATTTAGATAAAATAAATATTTAAAATTTAACTGATTGTAATAAAATGATAAGAATTTAGATAATTATTTAATTTTAGTTCAAAATTTTTTATATTTAAATTTTAAAATATATACGATTATTTAAGGCTATTATTTTATTTGCAAATGAAATTAAAATGTTATCATATGTTTGATGATTTATTATATTTTTTAAATATTCTTTACCGAAGTATATGATAACTTTTTAATTTCATTGGTAAAATTTAAAAACTTTAGGGATGATGGGCTATTAGATAATTAAGTTATGCATACTTGATTATTTTGTCCACCAATTTTTAAATGTAAAATCACATTGAATTTTAAACTCTTTAACAATTCTTTTAATATTTGCCACACTAATTTATGATTCTTTTAATAATAAGACATTCCATGATTTTGTTATATAAAAAACAAGTTCTGTGTTTTTAATTTAATATTCTTTGTCAGTGTTTGAATATCATGATTTTGTAATATTCTGTGTGATTATTTGATTAACAAAAAAGGAAAAAGACTTGAAATTGCTTTGAGCTTTTAGCCGTTTAGTGCAAGCAAAGAGAATTGACTTCGTAACCGACAATTCAAAATCCATGGAATTTCACATCATATTACACATAAAACATCTGTACGCGCTTACCACCACCACCACCACAGTTTCGAAGAGTTAATGAAGTTTTTAAAGTTGATTAATCGAAAATCAAGTTTCCAAATTCCATCTACGAAAGTGAGTTCAATTTTATGAGGAATTGTGATTTATTTTTTTGTTAAAAAAATGGGAATGGGGATTGAATTTGGAAATACATATACAATTAAACAATCAGTTATCTTGCTCGAGTTGTATAAATTTAAAAAAGCAAATAAAATTTATTGTTTTATAGCATTTGAATTTTGATTGAATAATAAGTGCATGTATATTTTCTATTGAAAAGAAACAAATTTTTTGTACATCCATTTTTTTGGTGAAATAAATAAAAATTAATAATTATCTTAAAGTATAAGAAGAAATTTATATAACATTATATAAAAAATATCTCTTTAAGGGATCTGGCTTTGATATGCATTTTTTTTCCTTTTATAGTTGTTTTACTTTTGCATGGAAGCAAAATGTGTTTAATTTTTTTTGTTTTTTTTGGTAAGTCTTTTATGTTTGAACAGAAGCAAAAGAAAAAAATTTTCTTTGACATCCTGTTTTTTTTTTTTTTTTTTTATATTTGATAGGTGTATTTTTTCTCGATTTTTGAAGTTTTTTTTCTCTATTATTGTTTGAAAAAGAGGAATTGTGGTGTAAAAGACAAGCTTCTCTGGCGTGTGAGTTTCTTCTTTCATTTTTATTTTGTTATTTTGTTCTTTTTAAAGCATTTTTGGGTAAATTTTTTTGCTTCTTTTTATTATTTGATTGAATGTGAATTTTTTTTTTTTGAGTTTTGTTGTGATGATTTGGTGTTACAGATTTTAATTTTGTTTAATGGAATTTGATTATTGATTTAGTTTAGATTTTGTGGTTAGGAGGTTTACATGTTATTGTGAATATGTTTTTTTAGGAAGATTTTGTCTTTGCATGTTTGATGTTGGATGAAAATTAGTTTTTAGTTGTTATTTTCTTTGACAATGCTTTTTTATATTGCTGTTGTAATTGTTTTCTATTTTCATGCTTATATTTTATTTTGCAAGTTGTTTAAATGAAGTTATGATTTTGTTTTTGATTGATTCTTTTTTTTTTTGTCTTATCGTTTGTTGAAGGTTTTTGGATATTTAATTTTTAGGTTAGTATGAATTGTTTTACTTGTTGTTTTGCTTTATCCATTGTATATTTAGGTTTGTTTAGTTGTATGTGATGTTTTTATTTTCATTGTATATTTGATTCCTCTGTTATGCCTATTAAGTGTTTATTTGTTTTTTTAACATTTTTTTCTTATAATGTCTTGGTATAATTAAATGAATGAATGAATCCAACAGCCTCATTTGTTGAGGATTGTGGTCATTACAACTAGATTTTTTTCTTTCTTAAGATGTTTTTGTTGACAGGTGCATTGTTTTGATGCTGGTTTTTTTTGTTTTCTTTCTTTCTTAGTTTGTTTTTGTTGACAGGTGTATTCCTCATGTTGTTGTTAAAGTAAGTTATATGTAATTGTCTTAAAAGAACTTTGAATGTGAGTTTGATTAAGAGATAGGTTGATTGGTTGTTTTTTTTTTTTTTTTTGGGTAAGCTATGTTTTTACTTTGGGTACCTTTTGCATGAGTTTAAATAGAAGGAATTAACTATTAGATTATATGTTTAAAGTGATGCAGAAGAGAAGTAGTTTTTTTTATGTACTATTGCAGGCCATGATGGATGTACTTGAAATTTTAAATTCATTATTTTGTTTTTTAATATGGTTGATGTGTATAGTTATTTTTATTTGGTGTTTGACATATAAAATTTATGAAAAAAAGAAAAAAATCACAATTTTCACATTTGTATTGAAAGTAAGTTATGTATAATTGTCTTGAAAAGTGCCAAACTATTAAAGTTTATACTTTTTCTTTAGGATGCCTCATGTTGTTATTAGACTGAGTTTATGTAGTTGTTTTCAAAGTAGTTTGAATGTGGGTTTAAGTAAGAGATAGATTGATTGGTCTAAACTTGAAACTTTTTTATTATTATTGAACTTGATAATGTGGTATATTTTATTACTTCTAAAACATTTGTAAAGTGATACAGAAGGCAAGTAGTTTTTGTGATGTAATAGTGAAGATCATGATGGGTGTATTTGGAGTTTTAAGTTTGTTGTTTTATTTTTAATATGGTAGATGTGTATAGTTATTTTTATTTTATGTGTGATATATAAAATTTATGAAAAAGTCTTTGTTTTCTTTATTTTGCGTTAAATTTAAAATAAAAGTATCTACCAACAACTTTATTTTAATTTTATTATGTCATGTTATATTGTTAGAGGTTATTTACATGGTTTGAGGTTTTCATTCATTTGTAAGTGTAATGATATATAAGGTTAGAAGAGGGGATGAAATTTGGTGGCTAAAATTTACATTTAAGTAAGATAAAATAAATGGAAGGAAAATTAATGTTTCTTTATGTTGTAAGTTTTAGGTTAAATCAAGATGTTTAATACTATGAACAGTTTTATGAATCTTAGCTGCTTTAAGATTTGTTTAGAGTTTAACAAGGAAGTATAAAAGTTGTTAATAGCTTGACTTGTAAGTTTTAGGTTTACTAGGTTCCTTTTATATTATAGAGATATGTTTGAAAAATGCAATAGGTAAGTTTATATGAATAGATTTTAATTAAAATTAAAAGTGTAATTAGTATAAATTATTTTGGATAACTTATAATTAAATTATGATGTTTATTAATCAGTCTATCTATTTATGTGTGTGCAAGTAAAAGTTATTAAAGTAGCTTGCTGTTTTTATTTCTGTTTTTAATTATGTAGTGTATTTGATTTGTTTTTATTGTTTTTAATTATAAGGTGCTGTTTTTTTTTTTTTTTTTTGCAGGTTTAGTTCTAGTTATTACGTTGTTTTAGTGTGAGGTAACTTTTAAGTTGGACTTTTGGCTTTTTTTATTGTCTTTTTGTTTTGTGTGGTTTTTTTTTATTGTGTCTGACTTTATTTATTAGGTTTATTTATTTTTTCATTGTTTTAGTGTATATTTGTTGATTAAGAATGTAGTATGAAATGATGTTTTTTGATTTTAGGTTTCATTCTTTTTTATTGTTTATGGTTTTGTTAGTTGAAGATGTTTTGTATCTATATTAGTTAAAGGTTGAGGTCTATAAGATTGAAAAGACAACCAAATGTTTGTACGTATAGTTTTCCTTTGTTTGGTGTAGATGGATCTAAATATGGTAGATGTGTTTATGAGGTTAGACAAGAAGATGTTCAAGTTTATTAGTAATTTAATGGAATCTATGAGTGATGGAAGAGAGCTTGGCGATATCAATTTTGCTAATATTAATGGAGATAAAGATAGTACATTTGTTGGTATGTTGAGAGAATAAGATCTTTAGTTTTAGTTCTTGATTTAACTTGGTGTGTTAGTCATGTGTCCAAACATGTTCCTATTGTTGCTAATGGAGAAAATGGATATCAATGTCATGTATTACTACATTCCTTTGTTAATGCTAATGCGAAATTATAGACCATTGGAATTAAAACAAGCAAGTCTGTTATTGTAAGAGATTCAATTGCTCATATGTCAAAGAAAAGAAAGTTTGGATTGAAGTTGGATGGTTCTGCAAGTTTTTCTAGATATGCTTGAAATTCAAAATTGACTTTAGTAGAATCTATTGGTAATATTCATTTAATATGTTGATATTTATATGTATTGATATTTATAGTAATAATTGACTTATATTTAGTTTTCTTTTTTTTAAAAAAAAAAAATTTGTGTAGGTGATTGTAATTCTATGACAGTTTCTTTAAAAGTGGTAGAACATTTGAATGTCTATAGTTAGGAGATAAGGCAAACCAATCATTTAAGTAAGTTTTATTACATTTTATGTATTTTATTTATTTGTAGTTTAATTGTTGTTTTTTCCATCATTTGTTTAATATTAAATTTTTTTTTAAAGAAATGTGTTTAAAACCTTTTAATTTTGGTGGTCCTAAGTGTGTTTATCCGTTTTGTGATGCTGTTATGTGGTACGAAAAGAAGGTTGATATCTCAAAACAAACATGAAATCCTACATTTACACTTTGTTG